GGTGATGGTTGTTTATCTACAGTTTCGGGACCGGCCAGCAGTGAGCTTCGAAATTTGTGGAACGTACAGGATTCCGAAATTATGGCCAATCAAAATGAACTATAGCCGTTGAAGTGGACTGTGCTTTTCTGGTGCGAAAATTGGGAAACTATACCTGTTCAACTTCAAGTGAATCCGTTGTAACTTCAAGTGAATCCAACCAATCGTACTCGTTGGGAATCCCACAAGATGATCGGTGTTTCGGCCGTTAAATGTCACCGATTGGACCGGGTCTGTCTAAAAACCCCATCCAGTCCGAATGAACCTACCTCCCTGCAAACAAACAAATGTACTTTTTGAGTGAGTTACCAAGTGGGGTTGAATGTTTCGGTGGGGTGAGGTGAGCCCCTCCCTCCCCCACACAGCCCCGTTCCACCCGGGAATGTTATGTTCGTGTACGTTAATCGAATGTGCGTCATAGATACGAATGAACGAACCCGGAGTTAACTGACCTCTGTCGGTCGGGTAAGGTAGGGAATCACGTCAAGATGGATCGATAAGTCGGTCACCATGTCCAGACGTGAATGTGAGCATGATTCATTGCATGAGTGGAGTCAGTCTAAGCCCCCAGTAACCCAACTTCATTGAGGCCGAGTTCCTTCCGATTCCTTTGAATCAACTGCGATTGCTTACGTATTTCTGACATTGAAATGCACACTTGACAAGATACTTAACAATGGTAATAATGGTGAAAGAAGTAACAGTATTTCACCTGAATTGCAAGATCGAATTCGAAACTATTCACTAGCTAATAGAAATCATATTTTTCTGTCATTCCCTAGCTGAATAATACATTCAATCCATAATGCCAATGGCAATAATCTGTTCCCTGCGGCTTCTCTCTTCGCTACTCGGCTTCATCGCATAGGTTCTTATCTCTATCGAATTATTGCTCAAACCGTCGCATCTTTTCACATACTGATTGATCTGGTGCATCGCGATCATTTATAGTTTATTGAATGAGACAGGTGGTGATATGAATGAGCTACAGTTATTCATGATCCTACAAGCGATAATAACTCTGTACTGAGTGTTCCATGAGGGTCGGTAAAATATTCCACCCACGGTTGTCTTGATACCGAATGTCGAATAGGAGAAAGGGTTCTGTGGCACCGCGGATGCCACGGAAGATTGTATAAACGAGCTACATGTCATACAGATGAAAAGCAGTTCCAGTTTAAACAACCATTAAGGATGCATTTGCGTGCGACGCTTTTGGTTCCTGTCTTTTGGCTGCCCATTTGGGTGAAAAATAGGAGGAAAACAGGAAGGTTGAAAGTAGAATTGAAGAGGAAATTGAGTAGTTCAGTGGACTAATGCTGCAGGGCAATCGTAAAAATGCACGATCGCCACGACACCCA